CAACAACAAACAACAACAAACAACACATTAAGAATTTACTGAACAGTGAAGTAGTTACTAAATTTAATAAATTCTGAGCTCAATTGTGGTTGTAAGTTGAGGACTACCTGCAACAGGGACTTTAGGCAACAAGAAGTGACCCATGAAGTAACAAAATATGTCACTTTTAAAATACTGTCGTCTAACAAATTTGGAATTTTTACTTTGAAAACTTCTTACCTGTTCCTGCAAAGCATGATTCTTCTCTTGTAACTGATTTAGAACTGCTGTTTCTCCTTCACCAGCTTGAATTTTTGCATACAAGTCTTCCCTTTCTTTTTCTAGCAGAGAAATATTCTCCTTACTCTTTTGTAGCAGGGCTTCAAGGTTTTGGATTTTTTGATCTTTATCACCAATCTGACGTAGAACTTGCTCTAAATCATTCTTGGAAAGGGGGAATACAATTGCTAAATATATCTAGGAACATAATTTCTGCATACTAAATTTACAGAGAGCTCATGGCCCCCTTTTTAACAAAAACAACTTGAAGCCATTTTTCTTCTTTATGTAATTAAATAGAAAGTTTAACCATGAACGTTAAAAAGTACAATCAAAATAAAATGTTTGTAATGAGGAACATACAAGAGAAAATGACTTTGTTTAAAACATAAAAGTTTTTATTCATTTTTCAGAAAAAAAACAGGAAGAAGAAAGAAAAAGACATGATACATCTCTAAAGCCTATGCAAATGAATTAATGGTATCTGCCACAAATTCTGCCACAAATAATGATAAAGTGCTACGTATTAATGAAATATATAGATTTGAAGGTAAATTTCCTACTTTGAATTGAGCTTCAGAAATGCAGTTGCCTATAACAATGCTTCAAAACAAAAATATGTCAAATTCTGAACCCCTTGATATGTCATGCCTAATGAGAGTTCCATTAAATAGCATAACAGTCCATTTATAAATCATCAAAACTTAATTCTATCAAGCTCCTTATCTTGTAGTAGTAACTATAACCTGCATTTTAACAAAAATATTTCTTCTTGTAGCACTATCAGGCCTTGAGCCTTTTGGAACTGGGCCATGGGAGTGCACGCATCCCTACTCGTGCAGCAGCATGCCCATGTGCATGCTTTCCAATTGCGCAAGCAGTGTCCGTGCATGCCCATTGCTCACTCAAATGGAGCTGCATGCACATGTACACTTGTCCACCACGCATGTGGAACCATCCCCTCTCCCCTCCCCACTGGTCCGCAAAGCCAAAAAGGTTGGGGAACTCTGTTCTAGCACACGAGAAATATGTTGGGCTTTTTTCTTAGCAGCAAAATTCTCTTACCTGGGCTTCTCGAAGTTTTGCTGTCGTACTTTGCTGAAGATTCTGCTGCTCTTGATGCTGCTGCTTCGTTTTGTCTAATTGATGTTGCAATTCAGTTGTATTTGCCGCTTTTTCCTTTAGCTTAGAAAAATAGTCACAGACTGTTGACTGAAAACTGACAAGCACAATTTAGTAGTTTAATAGTTTATAATTTACTCTAATACTGAAGTATTTTATATCAGATGCCTTTTTATTAGAATTAGAAGTCGTGTAATATTTGTCCTAAAAGTTTTTTTTAATAAAAAACAGTCACTTCAACAACTTTTCCAACAAAATCAAAAGGTTATAACAACATTATAACAGTAGGTGATTGATTCCTATATTACATTTGGCATTCTTCATTAGGAAAGATGCATAGAAAAATAAAGTTCTGTTTTTTCTCATTATCAACTACTCTGAGAAAATTGTAATTTTAGATACCACTCATTAATTAGGCAGCAAAAGCAATAATCTTTATAATTCTTACACATACTCAGTTAAAAGGTTGGACCTAACCCTGAAAATATCTTGAGAAGCAGACATCAAGAACTCCCTGCCTAATGATGAAGAATTAATACCCTGATCCATTATGTTTAATGAAGGATTAAGGAATTTTGGAAGATATATTTCATTAAAGCAAGCAAAGGGAAGAGACATGCAAGACAAAGTTTTCTGGTTACTAATCTCAAAACACAAATTCAACTCAACCAAAATTATATTCTGAATGTAATTCTTACCTCCTCTTCAGCACGTGAAAGTTTTAACTGAATGTCAGCCACTTGCTGTTCCTTTTCCATCAGCTTTTCACTAGATAGCTGTCTCTGCTCTTTTAGTCGCCCCTGTGCTTCTCCAAGTTGATGTTCTGTTTCCAGAAGTTTATTGTGTAACTGGAAATGAAAACAAGCTTCATTTTGATGAACATGCCATGCTTTGTTTGCTTTTTTAATCTACTGTGCTTGCATACAAATGCTATCAACACATTCAGTCCTAGTAAGTTGTGGACAGCCATACATCTGGCCCAACTCAGTTCATGCTTCTCTTCCAATCACAAATAAACTGCAGCTCAAATAATGAGAGCAGCTTTATATTTTGTTTTCCCAAATCAATCCACTGCAAGATAAAAGTTTCTTCACTAATGACTGCAGATTTTGAACTACTGTAAGTCCATGTATATGCTAAATAATATGCTAAATAAATAAATGCAGATCTTTATTTACTAGAGTAGATAAAGTCTATTGGTCTAGTCCAAATAGCTGGACAGATGTCACACTGCTAGCTTTCATGCCTAAGAGTGAACTTAAACCTGGATGGTCCAATACCTTAACCACTATACATTGGCTCTACTTTATTTGTATAAAACCAATAATGTATATTTAGTAAAATACATTTATATGACTAGATTGCCTTAACTGACTTAAACCACAGAATAATCTACAGGATTTTTTTTTCTTCAGACAAGTTAAACCTGTGTCTAAACTGCACTGGGAAGCGGGGAGCAAGTAAACACAGTTTGTTATTGTATCATGAGATTAACCAAAACATATGAACTGTATGCGGAGGTTGATTGATTTAGTTTGGAAAGTACTAAACTGGAGTTGATAAAGGGTATTCATGTAGAGCTATCACAGGTGATGGAAGAGAAGAGATGAAAATTATCTGAAAGACTAGCAGGAAAAGATTACGGGTTTTGGAGAGGAGGGGAAGCAGCTGGTTAACTGAAAACTAACTGCTGGATTTACACAGTTTTGGCTTCCGAAAGATCTGCAATTTCCAAGATGAAATGAAGATCACTATGAGTTCTAAAGTGATGATGGAAAAGGACCAGAGTTCAAGGGATCGTGTCTAACATACCAGAGGGAGAAGTGGGAAAAACCTAAGTTGATTCTGGTGGCCACAAGATCTTACCAGCTAATAGTGATTAATGTTCTTGATTAACTCTAAGGGGAACCTACTAATATCTATGCACACTTAAATATAGTTTAAGTCAGGCAAAAACTAACAAAGCAGAAAGCTCCAGAGGCAGAGAAAAAGTTAATTGCTAATTGGCAAAATAATGTTCTGGTTTATTGCAGGTAAGGTGTCTTTGAAATCAAATGTAGAGGCAGGAGGGAGAAACATTGTTGCTTAAACTGCTTAAGCTAAATGGTACTTTCAGGATTAATTTGTATGATGCTAAGATTCTAAGACTGCTTTATTTGATATATCATTAATTTAAAACAATAGTTTACAGAAGATATTTGCATGCTGTAGTTGGCTGTTTTCTTTTTAAAAAAAGTTTTATTTCTGTCTAAATATGAAAAAGGTATAGGAATTCTTGGTCAATATGTGAAATCAGGCTTTATAATTTATTTGCTTAAGAATGGATAAACTTAATTTTACCTGATTGAGCTCATTTTGAAGCAGCAGGCTTCGCTGTTCTTGTTCTTCCCTTTGTTGTTGTAGCTGCTTGTATTCTGCTTTAAGATGCTGGTTCTTGGCTTCAGCTTCTGACAATTCTTCCTTAAGTTTTTGGCTTGCTTCTCTCTTTTCACACAATTCTTTCTGCAATCTCTGTAATGAGTCCTCCGATGCAGACAGTCTTGCCTGAAGTTGTTGACAGTCCAATTCCTTTTGATTAAGAGTTGCTTGCAGATTCCTTTTACCCAATGATTCTTCATTTTGTCTCTCTTCTAACTGAGTATATTCCAATTCTTTCTTTTTTAATTTTTCCAGTAGTTTCTAAAATGAATTGTGGATAATATTAAGATTGTATTTCATTAATTTTAAATAAAATAAGCAGATGGATCAAAAATGCAAAATTAGTATTTTAATATAAAAACATGCATGACTACATATACCATTGAGAGTCCCAAAATGAAGGTTTATGTTATTTTTCTTGTAATAAGACAATATTCTGAGTTTGGATTTTTATTATTCCACTATACTAGCAAGAAGGACCCTAAACCGAGAAGATGCAATTTTACTTTTCCTGTTACTTGCAAGCAGTTGCAACCATAACCATGTGAGCTTCAGAACCAAAGATAATGTTTTTGCAAGTATGTAAAAGGGGATGCGGTGGCTCAGTGGCTAACGCGCTGAACTTTTCAATCAGAAAAGTTGGCAGTGGCTAACGCGCTGAACTTTTCGATCAGAAAAGTTGGCAGTTCAAATGCCTAGCACCACATAACGAAGTGAGTTCCAATTATTTGTCCCAACTTCTGCCAACCTAGCAGTTCGAAAGCATGTAAAAATGCAAGTAGAAAAAATAGGAACCAACTTTGGTGGGAAGGTAACATCATTCCGTGCGCCTTCGGCATTTAGTCATGCCGGCCACATGACCACGGAGACGTTTTCAGACAAAGCTGGCTCTTTGGCTTTGAAACGGAGATGAGCACCGCCCCCTAGAGTCGGTAACGAGTAGCACATATGTGCAAAGGAAACCTTTACCTTATAGCTATATAAATGCTGTAAGAATAGAAAGTATACTTGCTGCATTAGGATCAACAGAAAAATACTGCATGATTATAATGGTATTTGATATCAATCCATGGTTCCTAAAGGGCTAGCATCTCTGACTTGTTTTTCAAAATACATGAGTCCATAATCCAAGAACAGATCTTGGCTTAATTTTGTCAAGTTAGAAGAGGAATTCATCAATGACCTCAAAAAGTAATATCAGAGGCTTCATGATTTGTATAACTGATAAGACTTTATCTTTAGAATTGAACAAGATCATCAATCTGTTGCTTTCAAAATACAAATAACAATATTTTTACCCGATTTTTCTGTGCAAATTCATTAACTGAAGTTTGAAGTTTCTGGATCTCTTGTACATATGTAGCAACTTCTTGTGGTCCTTTAGCAAGTTCTGTATTTAACTTATTAATGGTAGCCTATGGGAGGGAGGGAGGGAAGGAGGGAGGGAGGGAATAAAAAAATATATTTTTAATTCAACAAGAATAGATTCCCATAAAATAATTACGGAATCCATAACAAAAGTTTATGTCATCAAAAAATAAAGTTATTTAAATATATACTATACAAAGTATATATGGAAACATTGTTCTATATAAATTCTTCAAATATTACTAGTAAAAAAGAGGAAAGAATGTCACAATTGTATCACAAAAGCATGATTCCTGCTTGGTTTCTGCTATCAGCAAGAAAAGCTACTACATAAATAAAGCAATTTTAACATAATGGCTAAGGATCAGTTACTTATATTCTTGCCAAATCCAGATCTGAAGTGAAGGGTTCCCTTTTCTCTATTTCAACTCAGATTGGCAGGAAAAATATAGTGGATGCCATCAGACAATATGTACTAGTAATTTTCCTGATCCTAGTAAAATGTACCGTATTTTTCGGAGTATAAGGCACATCTTTTTCCCTCAAAAAAGAGAGTGAAAATCTGGGTGCGTCTTATACAGAATACAGCATTTTTGGCCTCCTGAAACCCCGCCCCCTTTGCAAAAATGGCCGTGCATAGCCTTTAGGTTTCCAGAGTGCTCCTAGGGGCTGGGGAGGACAAAAATGAGGAAAAATGGGGCGTTTTTGCTCATTCCCCCCCCAGCCCCCAGGAGCACTCTATAAGTCTCCTAAAGACTATGCATGCCATTTTTTGGACAAAAAACAGGCTTTTTTGCTCATTTTTGACCCCTCCAGCCCACAGGAGGACTCTACCAGCCTCCTAAAAGCTATGCATGCCCTTTTCTGTCAAAAAAAGGGCCCATTTACATGAAAAATGGGCCACTTTTGGAGGTCTATGGAGTGCAAAAAAAATTTTTTTAATTTGCCTCTTCAAAATCTTGGTGCATCTTATATTCTGGTGCATCTTATACTCTGAAAAATATGGTAATTCTTAAACCTCTTTATAAAATACTTCACGACTCCTGTTAATAGAATTTTCTTTATAAAAGCAAGTCTCTTATTCTCTTAAAACGATTTCCAGGGTCTCTTCCAGCTCTTGTTAATTGTGTTGTGTTATTCTTTCTTTGATCATGTGTATCCATCCCATCTGGAATGATGTAGGATCTCCTGCCATGGGTCCATTGTCCCTTTCAACCTTATTATTCTACATTATATGTTTTAGACAGAGAAAAGTCTCATTTTAAAATTAAAAGCTAAAATTCTAGTTTTGTTCCACAAAAATAAAGGAAGATATTAATAATGAATACATAAATAGAAATGTTTGTGAATATAAAGAGTGTTTTATAAACACATAAACAGGGATGTCTATACGTGTTTGTACATGGTGAAAAACAATTAAATTGTACTTCTTAATGGTAATAGGGGATATCCATGTATTTAGTATAAACTATTCTTATTATTTTGTACATCGTATTACTTTAGATACTCATTGTCATAGAATAAATTCACTAGGGCCTAAGCACTAGAACGTGTATCCTCTTCCTGTTCCTTTCCATCCAACCTTATCTTTAAATATTACTTTTTCATGAGTTCTGAAAATAAGGTTTGGAGAAACAAATAAGGGTTTTTAAAGCTGCACTTTATGCAGAAAAGGATGTATGTGGGTGAATATAGCACTTATTAAAACTTCAGTTTTGCAAGATACGTGAATGAAAACAGAAAAAAGAACTTGTGTATATCCTTTAGAAATCTAATAGTAACTAGGCAACAACTTATAGTTGTTCTGAGTGCTTAAATAAAATAAATATATTAGAGTAAAACTAGTATGTCAGAACATAATGAACATAACTTTATATTAAAAGTGAATACTATACTTGGGATTTGGTTGCAGGACAGATTTCAGGGTAAATGATGTGTAGTAGAAGGAGATAAAGAGAGGGAAATATTATCAGTCCGTAGATTCATTTGAATTACATAAACTCCCATGAACAATAATGAAAAAGTACCAGTAAGAAAAAACAAAGGCTTTTTAGAGTTTTCTTTAAATCTGACAGAGTTCTCATTATAAGATGCAAAGTGAATTTCTTCACTCTACAAAAATTCACTCCTGACCACGATACATCTTCAAACATTAAACACTCAATAAAATATAAGGGACTACATCAATGGCCAGGCTATTACAACTGCTCTCATGGGCTATGTTTCCTAAAGTACTGTCCTTCAGGCATGTTCATCTGCAATCTTTGTAAAGGTAGTTGGGAAATACAATCTATTGCCATGAGAGCACTATTTTGGAAAAAAAAACTGATATGCACTTTTGGATCAGTCTTCTTTTTCTGATTTACTAGAACTGTATTTATCCAGCATTTTTGCAGAATTTACTTACTATTCCTTTCAGCCCTAAAAATAGTCCTCATGTGACTCATGAAACCACCTAACAAATTTGAAAAAAATTAAATCCCAAAAGAGTATATCAGAATGTTTTGTTGCAAATTCATTAAGAACAGACAAAATATAGATACTGATACCAATCACATATAGTCACTGGAAATCTGGCTAATTTAATTGTGAAAATAGTTTGTAAAATAAGTGCAAAAAAAGGATTGGTGGCTTGTAAATACATGCACAAATTAGTTCTTATCTGGTTTGTTATTTGTAGTTACCTTTGAAAAGAGGTGTAAAGGTTAGAGTATTACCTCAAATTTAAAGACCTCCACAGAAAGCAGCCAAAAAAAAATGATGGGTGAATGAAAAAGAAAACAATGATAAATGTTATTTCAACATTAGACAGAATGTTCATGGATCACTTAAATCAGTAGCGTGATGCTGATAAAACATGCACATATAATTGGGATGGACGTCAGTGATTTTAAAGCCAATGTAGACAAAATCACAATTCTCAGCAGATTCTACATGAAAGTTATATGATCAAAAGAAGAAAAATATACAAGTGTTGCTTTGCATTTTCAATCAGAAAATATTTGTTTTGTAAATGACTAAACCTGCAATCAGAGATAGAAAGGTTTTCCCATCCTCTGCCTACCACAGGAATACAAATTATAGCATCTCCTAGAGAAGGCTGCCTCAGGTATCATTCTTTTCATGTGAAGCAAGCTAAGGCTCAGTCTGGTCAGATTTTTTCAGCTCCTAAATCTGAGATTAATCCTTAATGGTTCCAATGATGCAGAATATATCCAATTTCTACTGCTTCCTGCAGATATTCTCATCCATAGACTTGTTCCTAGAGTTGCTTCTTCTGCCACTTTTTACAGTAGTTGACAGTTAACTTTCTTCTGATGAATGTTCTTTCTTAGAATCTGAAAATTAGCTATCAGAGACCCAATCCTTTAATTTTTTCAACAAGAACTTCTGGAGTTGTCACTTCTATGTTTCCATTTCCTCACAGGTTTGGAAACGCACAATGTATCTTAAACAGAGTTGAGAAGTAGTTAAGAACCATTAAGCCAAATAAAGAGATTAATACTGCACTGACTGGGTCTACATGCTGCATTTAAGCAGAATGTAGATTGATTCTGACTTAGTATGCTTTGTAAGCCCAGTGATTTTCTTTTAAAGTTTACAGTAAGTGAATATAACCACTTTGACTTATTTGGCAATAACAGTTAATGAAAATCTCTGTTTTGTACAAAAAGGCAAAAGGAAGCAGCCAATTAGGCACAATCTAATGACGTGTCCATGAAAAACAAAAATAATATGTTAAAAATACTGAATAAATAAGACAATGTATGCAGAACTCAAAATCTAGAAAGTTGACTTATTTAAGGATTTTATGTACCCTAACAACCCAATCAAGAATATCAAGCAGGATTATAATTTAATCAAGTTACACTTTGCATCAGGGTGCAACAATGCAATGTAATATAGTATGTAATTACTGGAATAAACACTGCTGAACTCAATACAGATAGTTCTCAACTTATGACAACTGGGACCATAATATCCACTGCTATGTAAGGCAATTTACCTGATTTTATAAGCTTTTTTGCTGTGGTCATTAAGCAAATCACCATGATCATTAAATGAATCACAGTCATTAAGCAAATTTGGTTTCCCCCATTGAGTTTACTTGTCAGAAAGCAGCTGCGAAAGTTGCAAATGGTACACGTGTGACCCAGCATGCTGCAACCACCAGCAAGCACCCAAATTTTGATCACATGGCAAGGGGATACTGTGACAGTCGTGAGAACCAATTCTAAGTGATATTTTTGAATGTCATCATAATTTTGGTCACTGTATGAATGGTCATAAGTCAAGGACTACTTGTAGGATTTACAAATAAGAAGATATATTACAATTGAATTACACAATTGTAATATATCTCTGAAATATATTTTACTTTTATTTATAAATGATAAAGTAGTAAGAAAATATATCCCACAGTTATTTATCATTTTCAAAAATCTACAAATCTGTCTTAATGAATAGAATATCATGTTTGGCAAACTTGATTAAATATATTTCAAAGACAGTGGCATAATTAATATGCAATATTTTCATATTAATTTCCTATCACAAAATTATACACAAGGACTTCTTATTAGAGCTTATATGCGATGTTTCCAGGAAATAAATGTTTGAGAGAAGTAACTAAAAATATCTAATTTTACTTAATGTAATATTATTTTTATATATATATAGCTATATAGAGCTATAAAATATCACCTTACAATTATTTTATCAATTATTTTATCATTACAGAACTGTCTGACATAACACAAAAATGAATTTTAATATGCAAAACTATTTTATGTTAATTTTGACATGGCTTCAGAACTTCAAAACAAAATATTAATTGAGTAAGATAAGTGAGTTCTAAGACAAATTTTTATAAGCATGACATGCCCATCTTCTAACTGGTAGAGGTTTGATTAACGAATAAAAAAGTGAACAAGAACTAAACTGAACTGAAACTGTCTAGAGAACATCTAAGATAATTTCTTTTATAATTATGTAACTAGAGAATTTCCAAAAGGGAAAGAGAGTTAACTTGCAGCAAAAAGAGTTGCATTGTACCACCAATAAATGACACATTTTCATCATACAGCTTTCTACTAATACAATCACATTAAATTATAAAAGTATGGTTCATATTCAAATATTTTGACTAGATTAATTACCTCTGCATTTGTATATTCTGCTCTCAAATGATTGCATTCATCTTTCAGTTTCTCAGATTCTTTCTCACATTCCAAAGTCATCTTATCCATCAATGTTTGAACTTGGACTAATTCCTTCTTTAGAACTGCAACATCTTCTACCCCGGGTCTTTGAAGCTTTAGAAAACAGCAATATAAAAATCAGTATTACAAAGTTTAGAATGAAATTATATTTTCAATATGGTTTATAAAATTACAGTGTAAAACCAATTTGTGTGTGTGTGTGTGCCTGTGTGCGTTTGTGCGTGTGAATATATTTTCCATATTCCATACTCCAGTCTTAAAGCTACTTAATTTCATAAAAAACGTTACAGTATACTCAAATATAACTAAAATACCTCTATGTTGCAGTTCCAGTATATTTTTCTTAGCTTTCTGCTATTTTTTAAAAAAATCTTGAACTTATTTTGTTAAAATACTATGCAGCTAAATACACTTTAACTACTTAGAGACATTCAACATCAATATTTTCAACTATTGATTAATTAATAATTAATGATTAATTAATCATAGGGTTAACAGACATTGAAGGCACAATAACTTTTGAAAACCATAAGACTATGCATAAACCACATTGAAAAATCCTTGAAATAGTTGCGTCTTTTCCTAGAATTCCATAGCTGCTATACAAACTAGTGAAAAGAGACATTAGACTTAAAAGTGTCCTGAATAGCTATTCAATTTGCCCATGAGCACTCAAAAACACATTATGGAATCAAAGGGCTCCTTGTCCAGCTTTGACTGGTGCACTAATGAAAGTCTTACATAGAGCAAAGGTCATAAATAATCCAGGTCACATGGATTATTGCAAGACAAACTGGAGAACTGTAAAGGAACTTTACATAGACTTTCCTTTCAGGACTATTCAAAAATTCCCATTGATGCAAAACAGTAGTCCACTTTATAACTGCTGCAAACCTAGATTGGTTACTAACAGGTTTCCGGTTCAATTTAAAGTGCTGATTTGATCTAGAAAGTCTTATGTGGGTTAAGATATCTTGCAATTAGAATTAACCTGTCTAAAAGTTACAATCAAAGAAAAGTTATAGTTAATCACTTACTCTTATGAAATTAGAAGCACTGAAGATGGGAGAAAATATTTGTTCTATTACTCTACAGCAGTGTTTTTCAACCTTTTTTGTGCAAAGGCACACTTTTTTCATGAAAAAAATCACGAGGCACACCACCATTAGAAAATGTTAAAAAAATTTAACTCTGTGCCTATATTGACTATATATAAAGTAATTCTCCCACGGCACCCCTTACACTATGTCACGGCACACTAGTGTGCCACGGCACAGTGGTTGAAAAACACTGCTCTACAGCATCGACTGTATGTTATGGAACATATACTTCTCCTGTATGTTTGCCCCAGTGGAAGCAACTGAAGGTTGCCCTCTTCTGGAGGGCTTTTTTAACTTCATTTTTTTCCTCCATTTTTATCTTACATGTCGGTATGATTTTGATTGTTTTTTATGTATAATCCATGTTTGATTATGTATCATTAAGTTGATGTTGACTCTTAGCAATTACATATATTATATACTGTAGACATTTTATTTTTTATTCTGGGTATTTAATATATATTTGTAATCCTGCCAAGAATCTTGGAATGTAAATCTCTATACAGTCCTTATATTTAATTTCTGTATTTTAAAATATTTTCATTAGTAGGAATGCTCTTTGAAATTTATAAAATGTGCAGAAGTTTATAAATTTATAAAAGCAAATATTTCAAATTAACTCTAAAAGAACAGCAATAATTAAGAATGAGAATGGATAAATAATTGTCAAGTGACGGCAAGCTACTATTGCCATGATAACCAGGAAAAAAATGACAATGAATGGAAAACCAAGGATATTTCAAATTAAAGTATTTATTTTTAGCTTAGAAAGAAACTTATCCATTATTGTAGCATAGAAGATGGTTTTTTATTTTGTACCAGAAATAGATCACTATAAAAATAAATAACTTGTTTTTTAAAGATCTGTAATTAAAATGATCAAGCTGTAGGAATAATCCCTTTCCAATTAGACAAGGCATGATAAAACATGACCACAAGAATTACCAGCTCTGTGTTTAAATCTTCACATACACCTTTTTGCTTCTGTAACTCTTGTGTCAAATTAGTCACTTTTTGTTCTGCAAGTTCTCGAAGGCTTGTTTCTTCATCATATTTGGCTTTAAGTTCTGTTGTAGAGAAAGGCGTTCTTTTAAAAAGGTGTTCCTTCAATTTAAACAAGACAACGGCACTGTATTGTGCAATAAGTATGGACAACTTACCCACAATCTCAGTGGCCAGTTGTGCTGCTTTTTGTTCAAATAAGTCTTTCATTTGTTTGATATTAAATTTTTCTACTTGACTGTCTTCTAATTGCTGTTCTAAAGATTCCAATTCTAAAATAAAAAAGTATGATTACAAAATGAAACTTTAATAATATTTTATAAAAACAAATACAGACAAAAGTATTTTATAAAAACAAAGATAGATGAAAATTTCTCTTTTTTAACCAAGATTTCCTGAATTCTGTCCTGCCTGCTTTATTTATCACTACTTAGAGCTCATCCTAATTTTGATAGTATATAGTAAGGAAAAGGAAACACATTAGCAAAACAATCAAATGATAATAATCACAGCCAAAATTGGTTTCCCTAATCAATTGAGGTCAAAACTTCGCTGAAATAAAACAGGTTTAACTAATTTCCAGGATGACAGCAAAATGAAGATTGCACGTAAGGTACTTTTGAGGGGAGATTATTCCGCAAAATGGGAAATATATAGAAGACCTATCATCTCATCCACACCTCATATCTCTCATGAGGTGGGAGAGTCTCAAGAAGCCTTCTGTAAACCAGGCAATCTGGTAAGATATTAGCTGTTATATCTTTTTGTAGGGCTCTAAAGGGAATGACCAGAATTGTGCGACCTTGGGTCAATCATTCTTTTTCAGCCATAATCAGTATCAAGCTCTGCAGCAACTGAGAAAGAAATAAAAGCCTTGTTACATCATGCACTGAAAGCTTTGCTGTATGAACTAGCAAGCACAACACAAAAGCAACTGGATCCTGCAGCCAAACGGAATAAACACTAAGAAAAACAACTATATATAAATTATGATGCAGCAACTGCTTTACAATTATTTAATCTAATAAAATAGCAATTGTGATTCTAGTACTCAGTAAACGGGACACTGAAAATTTTAACAACCTCAATTAAAACAGAAATAACTTCTACAACAGATAAACAGTAAGATCAAATTTGTTCAATAAAAATATTATTTTTCTTCTATAAAATAGAATTGCTTCATGAATTACTACATGAAAAAGAATCTTCAACATTTTAAATTATTTAAAGACTGCATTTTAAATTGAAGTATTTACAATAAATCAATAAATTATTTTATGGATAAACAGAGATTTAATGAGAGATACTGATCACTTGTCTGGATAATTATGTTTCATGAAACTATTTTTTTTAAGTTTGTCACCTGTAGAGGCAGCAGTTGCCAGACCATCAGGTTTGGATTCCTAAGGAAATTAGGAAGGCAGGAAGAAACAGAAAGACAGAAAGAGGGAGAGAGGGAGGAAGGGAGGGAGGAAAAAGAAAGAAAGAAAGAAAGAAGGAGG